TTATAAAGTTATCTGAAACTGAAATGTCTTTAAAAAAACGACTAGTAAAGACGGACAAATTGTAAACGCGTAGGTACCGGAGGAATTATCCACCAAACGCCGCCATTTTTAATTTCATTCACGCGAGAGAATGCGTTTGTTTTTAGGGCAACGTAGCCGATTTCATCCACAATTGAACTCCGAACTGGGAGTTCTGGATATATCTGGTAATCGATCATCATTTTTGGTACCTGGGCATATTATTTCATTAAAAAAGTTATATTTTTCAAAGTCCCGGACTTTGTCTATGGAAGTTCGCAGGGCTGTGGTGGGAACATCTATCAACCGAACGCGTCCCTGTACACACAGCACTGTACGCAGGGCTAATTCTTTTCAAGCACTAAAATAAATTTCATAATGAATACAAATATGGGTTTATGGCTAACATTGTCATGTAATCTAAGCACTGGGTCACGTCTTATAAATATGGGTTTATGGCAAACATTGTCATGTAATCTAAGCACTGGGTCACGTCTTATAAATATGGGTTTATGGCTAACATTGTCATGTACATGTAATCGAAGCACTGGATCACGTCTTATAAATATGGCTTTATGGCTAACATTTTCATGTAATCAAAGTACTGTGTCACGTCCTATAAATATGGGTTTATGGCAAACATTTTCATGTTATCGAAGCACTGGGTCACGTCCTATAATTATGGGTTTATGGCAAACATTGTCATGTAATCTAAGCACTGTGTCACGTCTTATAAATATGGGTTTATGGCAAACATTGTCATGTAATCTAAGCACTGGGTCACGTCTTATAAATATGGGTTTATGGCAAACATTGTCATGTAATCTAAGCACTGGGTCACGTCTTATAAATATGGGTTTATGGCAAACATTGTCATGTAATCTAAGCACTGGGTCACGTCTTATAAATATGGGTTTATGGCTAACATTGTCATGTAATCGAAGCACTGTGTCACGTCTTATAAATATGGGTTTATGGCAAACATTGTCATGTAATCTAAGCACTGTGTCACGTCTTATAAATATGGGTTTATGGCAAACATTGTCATGTAATCTAAGCACTGTGTCACGTCTTATAAATATGGGTTTATGACTAACATTGTCATGTAATCGAAGTACTGGGTCACGTCTTATAAATATGGGTTTATGACTAACATTGTCATGTAATCTAAGCACTGTGTCACGTCTTATAAATATGGGTTTATGGCAAACATTGTCATGTAATCGAAGCACTGGATCACGTCTTATAAATATGGCTTTATGGCTAACATTGTCATGTACATGTAATCGAAGTACTGGGTCACGTCTTATACATATGGGTTTATGGCTAACATTGTCATGTAATCTGAGCACTGTGTCACGTCTTATAAATATGGGTTTATGGCAAACATTGTCATGTAATCGAAGTACTGGGTCACGTCTTATAAATATGGGTTTATGGCAAACATTGTCATGTACATGTAATCGAAGTACTGGGTCACGTCTTATAAATATGGGTTTATGGCAAACATTGTCATGTAATCGAAGCACTGTGTCACGTCTTATAAATATGGGTTTATGGCAAACATTGTCATGTAATCGAAGTACTGGGTCACGTCTTATAAATATGGGTTTATGGCAAACATTGTCATGTACATGTAATCGAAGTACTGGGTCACGTCTTATAAATATGGGTTTATGGCAAACATTGTCATGTACATGTAATCGAAGTACTGGGTCACGTCTTATAAATATGGGTTTATGGCAAACATTGTCATGTACATGTAATCGAAGTACTGGGTCACGTCTTATAAATATGGGTTTATGGCAAACATTGTCATGTAATCGAGTCACTGGGTCGCATCTTGTAAACCAATGTCGTCACTTGTTCGTTGTTGGAGTATATTTATATAAAGATTGCGAAACTGTGCGATTCACCAGACGATGTGGGAGTACATAACAGTAATCATAATATATCCCATGGATGCCACCATAATGCAATAATAAAATTAAATAGTTAGACACATACAGATGATTAAACTTCAATTTATTGTGTAATAATGACGTCTAAGACTTCACATGTTCACAGGTGATATACTCCAAATTAAATGGGTCATGACATTCCTCAGTCCCTGAGTATATTTGAGCGAACTTTGTAGTCTCGTGGTACGTACATGTGCATCTCTCGAAATGTGTTACATTTTAACACCTCGGGCATTTTTTGTGTGTTATAATGCAACAGATTTGAACAAAATCCGTAAGTGAATACATGAAATATGGTTTCACAGACCAATGTGTTATATTGCTCGACGCTCTCAGACCACAGACATGATACAAACTGGAGTCAGGTGTGCATGAAATTCATGCCTTTGTTTTTTATTCCGACTATCACACTCGTACTATTAGACAGAAAGACACACCTTAATTGTTTTATTTTAAAACTGTATTTCCACTACACTTGTGTTCATTTCAATTATAACCCATTTCATCTCCTCCGAGGGTTGTTATATGGTAATGAAAATTATAAATTATCATAATTAGATGCAAACTGGAGTCAGTTGCGTCTATTTTGAAACAAATATGAAAATCATTACATAAATGATCATGACGTGAGTCCAGGTCCACAATGTTCATTCTATGACCCAAGATATTGAAGTAAATTGACCAGTTGCAGGGGCACCGGAGGGGGAGGGTCGCCATACAAAATTTCGTGTCTCCGCCTCTGTCAGTTAACGAGTAACCAGAGTAACTGAAATCCAATTCCTGAATATAAGACCTCATATGTGAAGTTTAAACTGGATTGGTCCAGTCCAGCTCCATGGTCCAGACAAGTATGCGTTGTCCATTTAAACAATATTGAGGCCAGACTTTTTTTATTCCTTGTTTCTCGAGTTTCTATAAGGCACATTTTTTGAGGAGGGCGGAACAAAATAAAATTAATTCTGTTTTCCATTAGATTTGTGTGATTCTCAAAGAATTGTATGTGAAATGAAATAAAATGTTATTCCATGTATAATCTTGTTTCTCATCTGCGCGAGACTTCGGTACTTTGATCATGATACTCCCACGAAAATGCAACTTGAATTTGTTGTGCGGCGGGCGGCAAAAAAATTAAGATAAAATTATTTTTTTTTAGTAATTATTTTCACTTACAATTCGGCGGGCGCGAGAAATTACACTGAAATGAAATATTATTTTTATTTCATTTTCGGCTCCTGTTCATTCGGGCAGGTTCGCGAAACAAGAGATAATAAAAGTCTGGCCTGATGGTGAAAAAATGCGCGGTGTGTGATCTATGTGTCAAGTTTGAACTTGATAGGTCCAGGTATGTCAGAGATATGGTCCCGAAACTGCATTCTTTAAAAGTGTGCAATGTATGTACCAAGTTTCAATAAAAAAAACGACAACATACGGTTGAGATCCGGTTCCGAAATGGCGAAAACATGTGAGTTCAATGCATTTTTAGCCTTCACCATCTTGAGTCAGGTCATGAAACAAATGCACGTGTGTCCAACGTATGTATGAACTTGTTTGGTCTTGGCCATTTTGAACCCGTGTTCAGTGTGTTCAATTGTGAACAATTGTGTTCAATGTATGTACCAAGTTTTAACCAAATTCGTCCTCACATGACTGACATCCGGGCTGACATCCAGTTCTGAATGATGAAAAAATGTTATTTTCATGCCATTAAAATTTGTCCATTTTGATTCGGATCATGGAACAAATGCATGTAATATGCCCGATAAAATGCGACGCGCTCACGATCACGGATATCAGTATTATAAGTCGCCGTTGTTGGACTCTGTCCGAACGGGAACTAATATGGCAGTTTGTAAAATGAAGTTCAAATAATATAAACAACGACGGATTTCAAAACAGTGGGCTAAGCGGGGAACCCTGGGATACAGTATTTTTTTTAATACAAAACAAAGTAAAATAATAGCTTAGGAATCAGAATTCCAACAATACATTACTTAACTAATGGTTTTGGATGTAACTAGGACATTGAATATAATCATTTTTATGGACAACGCTTTTAGTCTTTGTTATGGCAATAAAGAATTGCTGACACTGTAGACTGTAAAATGTCGCACATAGCCTGTCAATGTGTGTAACATCCTCGGTAGGCTTAGCCAAGTACAATCCAACATAAGTACTATAGTTTGTTTGTTGCTTTGTTAGTTCCGGTTCCTTTTCTCTGGTATGTTTATTGTCGTAAAATGCCACCAGCTCATCATAAAAAAATATATATATAAATACATGTATAAAATAAATAGAAAAATCTAACGACTATGCTTCATTCCTTGGCCTGAACGCGGAGTAAAGATAATTAAACAGACAAATTTTATTTAGAACCATGCATGCTAGTAAAAAAAGTAGTTTATGACATCATTACTAGTGTATTGTATTGTATCGTCTCGTTCTAGTAATTTTTATTTGATTGTTAGAACCGTAATGAAATACATATTTTGTTGTCAAATGATAATACCTTTCATTCCACACCCGTTTGGAAATTGTGATTTTCCTCAACGGATCCACCAACTGCACTACTGTAATCATAGACCCTCTAACAGAGGGTCTATGCTGTAATGAAACATCCTGTTAAAATTTGGTTTCCTGTTAAGAAAGGTTATTACGACAAACGTCATGGTAATTCATCAATTTTTTTATTTAGATTTCTTCACAACGTATTATTATTTTACATTACTTCATCATTTTATATTGTATTAATCATCATTGCAATTTTATAATATTATTGTCAACAAAAGCGTACATTCTGCCTCATTAGGAACTGTGTGGTTTGCCTGACCCGTTTTTCCGTTTTCCACAAAAACAGGAAGGTAAATGTGTGAGTTTACACACAAATCGGATACAATTTTAATATAACAAGCGCTTCTGGGTATGGTTCGTTGTACAACGTTTCACAAAGGATAATCGATTTCAAACCCTCAGTGATGATGGACAGAAAGGTTTGTTTACAAATTGAGAATGGTATCGCCCAACGAATACGTCCGGAGAAAGCCGAAGATGACATCATAGTAAGCTAATTTCTTTATTTGCTCACATTTTTTGCTGCAGTGTGGGTATTTGGCTATATGTATCAGTATAAAAGGAAATTGTTATATTGCAGTCAAATAACTCATAAACGGAGTGAATCACAGCACATTTATCTCGCAACGAACATGACGTCATCTCCGGATAAAATGGCGGCGCGAATTTTTCTTGAAAGTCACGTGACCTCCAGCTTTTGTGACCACATATTATAAGGTAAAAGGGATCGTCTGAAACTCTTGGATTTTACGGTTTGTCTTATTCCGGAGCATGTTTTATTTGGTGATCTGAAGTTGTAAGGTATTCGGCCGTGTTAGGAGGGCAATATTTTCTTTGGTGGTTGTTTATTTATGACGCAGAATCAAAAAATAGGGTAAAATCCAGCATGGCGTCACATGTCATCTGTGTCAGTGTTTTTGTCCTTTCTCGCTGTTATTTGAGCTAATGTTTATTGTAAAAGTCAATTTATTATAGTCTGTAAAAAACCTGGGTATGTTATTGTTCACTCCGGACTGGACTTTGCCGTCTTTAAAGCGATGTGAACATTGTATTAATGGTGAAAATGATTCGTTTAATTTATGATAATTACAGGGAGATGACGGTTTTTATAATAATAACCAAAAAACTACCTGGTTTTTCTGAGTGTGAAGTCATATCTAGGGATTATTCTTCAACCTTGCTTTTATTTGTTTCTTTTCACAGATTTTCTATTTTGTACATATACCGTTTTGTATATACTGTATATGATGTCCACAGCCGGCACTACACGTGCTAATAATCGGGGTAGCAATGCACGAGAGAAGCAAGCTTCAAAATCCAGCACACACAACACTAATAAGACTACAACTCCAAATTCAAAACAGGTATTGTTCTTAATTATAAGTTCCATTGATTGCGCATGTATCACGTCCATTCGTGCCACTCTTTTTACCTTGCATCGTGTATCGACCCGTCGTGTCTGAACAACACAACAATGCTTCACTGATGTTGTGTTGTCATATTATTTATTGTCAACAGGTTTGATTTTTTCAATGTCTATTTTAACGAAGTACCAGTGATTAATACAAATATTGAAAAAAACACAATAAATCTACTAAAACCAATTTTTCATAATTAGATATCTGAAACTGACGTTGAGGATCTGTGGCTCAATTGAAAGTTTTTAAATTCCAAGGTCATTAGCTGAAACACAAGTGTCAACCAGAGGTTATATTCATATGGCATGATGTCAGAACTGTCTGAGGTTACTTCATCCTTGACTTAGTATCTTTGTTGATTTTAAACATCTTGTGACTTTATACCTGTAATTCGCTATATCTAAAGTAGACAAGCAGTAAGAAAGAAAAATAATTTTTGGGAAAATTGTATTATCATAGGCAAAAAGTAGTCATTACACGTCATTGTTGTTACTTTATTTCTAGCAGTGCCCATATACAAATAACTGATACAAGGATGAATAAATGACTGGCGCAAGAAAAATAAAAAAACCTGGTGTATAAAAACGTCTCTACAGATGTTGCAACTATAAAACATGTCACTATTTAGAATACATTATGAATATGTTTGTCACTATTTTTAATTCTTTCAACTGATCATGGACGTTCATGAAGTATTGTGCATTTTTTGGTTGCTGCCAATGTTCTGAGAGGGCCTAATTTCTTAGTAATTTGTGTCAGTCTTAAATAGGTGTTGGGTGGTACCCAGACAAAAATAGCAGTGTAAAATGTTCTTGGTGGTAATAAGTGTTGTTGCAAGACATGACCATACAAATAAAATCAAGGACTACGTTATATTCATTTATTAATGCATGTACCTTGCACGTTACAGACATGGTTTATTTGTAATATTATTTTACTGTGATGTGCAAGTTATAATTATCAATTACACCATGCGTGTAATGTGGATTTATAAGTAAAAAATATAAATACTTGTGACTGAAAGTTTGTGGCTGTCCCAAGCATGTTGTTGGGTCGGCCTTGATGAAGTTTTACTAAAATTATGCTAGTGTTGGGGCGGGAGGTACTGTACCATTTCCACTGTGCCATTTATTCATAAATTCAGGTGTTGTACATAATAATAATACATGTATTTTTACTCAGACACAATATGTCGGTGTTTTAATACACACCAATTTTCACAAACAGGAAGTGAGACATGATTGCTCAGTTGACTTTCTATTTATGCCTATCTCTTTGCTGTTGTTTTAAAGGTGTGATAAATTTCAGAGTTAATAAAATAAATATAAATTTTTGTTTATTTATAATATTTATTTTATTGTTGGATTCTTTACTTATTTTGTTGTAGACCACGCATATTGTGGTTCCTATTAGCAGTTGTTAAACATACTGATATCAGTATTTTTGCTTTGTGTCATTGAGGGTGTAGCTAATTAATGTTTTATTTTTATAGCTTTTCATTTTAGTATTGTCTGTCCAGAAGCATCAGTGTTCTCCCCAGGATGTAAACAGCGTGGCAGTCCCGCCACAGTGCTTCGATTTGCCACCACACCGGTCTGACACTGCCACGGTGATTAGCAAGACCGCCACAGTGCTTTTTTCATTGGGGATCTCATCACGCTGGTCTGCCCGACCGGCACTCAAAATTAGCGTCCATCACAGAAACGCTTCCGACCAGGACTATTGTCATATTGTTAGTATACTTGCGTAGTGTACTGACCGACACGCATCCTGCCAGTCGTGGATAATAATTTGTAAACAATAGACAGTTGCGCGATGTGGGTAGCGGCTTTAAACAATACAAGTCAATTTTGTAAAATTAGCACCTCTTTGTAAGTAAATACTTTCTGACGATAGACGCAGTCTTTAGATTAAAAGCTAAAATTCTTTCAAAATCAATTCCGCCCGATGTAATATGGCCGAAGCAGAGTTCACAATAAGTTTACGTTACTCAAGAAAAAAGTGTTTATTGCGTGATTGGGTAAAATACATTTAAACTGTTATCATCGTGAATCATGTAAAAACTCTTCTTTCAAGACTTCTTTTACCTTTTAAAAATTGCTAATCACCTTTCGAAAACCATCATGCAGTTTTCATCTGAAATCCACACCAACACATCGTGCTACGACATCGCTTTACTTCCGCAATGTAATTTTTATGATCACGATCATTCGGAGAACTTGGGGTTCTATCGGCATTACTATGCGGCATTCTGATTGGTTAATTGTGTTTTTGACCCACCGGGTCAAAGGACACATGCCGGTCAACTAATGCGTCATAACTATCATGGCGGGTTTGTTTTTGAAGGAAAATTTTGTAATAAATAAGATCATGAAAGTTTGAACATAATCCTGGCTGAAACATTTCAAATGAGTTTCATTTGTCCTTTCACAATTTGTTTCTTTTTAGTCTGCAGCATTTGCATTTCGAGAAATATTTATATATTTGCACTGTGACGGTGCTCATTAATATTACAAAAGTGCCCAAAATAAGTGTTTATAACACTGTGTGAAGCATATGCATACATATCTGCCACTTTGTTTTTGAAAATGTATGTTTATTGTGTGGGTGTAAATGTGCTTTCGTCAATTTCTATTATGTAAGTGATATGCAAATTAGGCCGCCACAGTGGTTTAAATTCCTGAAGAGAACACTGCATATACCGCATTTGCTTCATTAGAAGTTCAAATCATATATAAACTATAAATTGTATTGTATCAACCATTGACAAGTCTGTCATTTACATAAGTGCATACATTACTAAAAGAGCAAATGTAGTTTGACACTTGGAAAATGTTATTTTATCTCAAAAACCCAAATTACAAGCATTGAACTAAAATCTATGACTGAGAAACTTAGATTACCTAATACAAAATGTGCAAGTAATGCAACAACATGCATTAATTTCACACAAGACCATTTTTAGCTCCGCTGTCATATTACTGATTGTCTGTCATCGGCGTCAACTTTACAATTTCAACATTTCTTCGACACTGCAAAGTTTCATATGCAAGTACCTTGGATCGTTCTCGCTCAGATTTGTTTATTTCATGTCAAAATCTAAAATTTTGTTTTTTTGCTTAATATTTTTGTAGTTTTTGAAACTTGTTGAAAACTGCAAGACCGATTGCTTTGATATTACATATATAGGTACTACATGTGGACTTCTTTCAGATTTGTTAATTTTGTGGTGATATCTTCAATTATTTAATTTTGATGATTATTTTTGTCATTTTTAGTGAAAAGTGATATTTTCGAATTCTTGTTGAAAACAGCAAGTCTGATTGCTTTGATACTATACATATTGTTCATTTTCTAATGATATCTTCACTTCTTTAAGGTAGCGAGAAGGTTTTGTGATGTTTTTAAATAAAACATTCTCTGTCTGTTGTCTCGTTCAGAACAGTAATTTAGGTTATATATATCAAAAGACTAAGTATAGAGGTGCAAGTTCGCACAAACTGGACATACATTGTTTACATAATTATCACGTGACATCAAAAATGGCGAACCTTGTAAAAATGACTAAGTCCGCGATTGCAAGAGCACACTGCGGAATTTTCTGGTGCATTGTCCGTAATCAAGTCCATTGAAATGCGTCTCCGATAATCAAAAGACCTATTATTCCGATTTCTATGCAGGTTTGTTTTTTTGTTCCCAAATTATTTCATACTTGGCACCTTTAACAGACTATTATTCTGTGACAAAGCATTTTCTTTAAAAACCCAGACATATTTCGCACCATCATTACAGTACAGTTCTCGCGGAAGCTTTGGCTTCACTTCAGCTTCACCTTCGCTTCAGCATCGCATCATTATGGCATTGTTATGGCTTCAGCATCGCTTCAATGTCGCGACATTAAAAAG